GCTAAAAGGCTTAAGTGTTGACAAGAACAAGTGATTTGTGATGTTTAAAAGAATACAATATGATCAAGATTTCTCTCTCTCATAATGCTAATACTATATTAGGATTCCAAGGTTCCATTGTCTTAACATTAATCAATAAAATTCTTATAATCCATTAATGGAGCTCTGGCAGAGAAATATCACTGCTATCATAGCCACAAGCTCAAGATTCCAAATTCCCTTTGGTTGTTTCCTAACTAAAGACCTCAAATTACTTTTTATTGGGCAAGAAACATCTGTCATTGTCCTGTACTCTGCCAACATCTTGCCAGGTCCAAGAGGCACCAGATGGTTCCACAGAGCCAGGACAGCAGTGAAACAATCAGATATTTCAAGCCATGATCAGTACCCTTGCTTTCTCAGGTCCCCCAAAGGTGGTTGATGTCCCAGATCAGTAGGAAGTAGTCTCAAGAACTCAACGCCCTCATTTCCTTGACCTGACACATCTCATCCCGTCTTCTATTCTTCTCTGGTACTGATATTAAAGGTGTGCACCACCACCACCCAGCTTTTGTGGCTAACTAGTGTGGCTTCTGGGATTAAAGGTGTGTGTCACCACTGCCTGGCCTATATGGATGACTAGTGTGAATAGCTTTGCACTCTGATCTTCAGGAAAGCTTTGTGTGTTAGGTCATAAGCAAAATATCACTATAGCCAGGACTGTTACACAAAGAAACCTTATCGTTAAAAAACAAAACAAAGAAAGAAGGGAAGGAAAAAAATAAGCTAAACTTGATGCTGGTGGAGCACAACTTTAATCCCAACACTTGGGGAGGAAGAGGCAGGTGGACCTCTGAGTTCCAGAACAACCAAAACTACACAAAGAAACTCTGTCTTGAAAACCAAAAGAAAAGTAAAGAAGAGAAAAAATAAATAAATAAATATAGGAAGGAAGGAAGGAAGGAAGAAAGAGTGAAAGAAAGAAAGAAAATGTTGAGCAAACCATAGGTGATGTAGAATTTCTCTCTGTATACTGTGAATATGCTTTATTACCATTGGTTAATAAAGAAGCTGTTTCAGCCAATGGTTTAGCAGAATAAAGCCAGGTGGGAAATCAGAACAGAGATAAAGAGAGAGAGAGTGGGGGGAGTCAAAGAGACATCATGTAGCTACCAAAGGAGAGGACACACCAAAACCTTTCTGGCAAGCCACAGCCTCGTGGCGAATACACAGATTAATAGAAATGGAATAATTAAGATGTAAGAGTTATATAGAAATATGCATGAACTATTGATCAAACAGTGTGGTAACTAATTTAGTTTCTGTGTGATTATTCGGGTCTGGGTGTCAAGGAAACAAAGGTGCAATCTCTGCCTACAAAATGGTGCCCATACATTTGGGCCTAACCCACGTGGCCAGTCATACAGCTTGGGTCTGGGTGCTTGTATGCCCACTTGGGGTTAGCAGGAAAGTAGCTGAGAGTAAGCCTGCCACTCAGTCTGGGAAAGCAGCTGGTTCGGGTCTGCTATGTGCACAGACAGGAAAGTATGGCAGATTCCCATGCCATACACAGAGACATTTCCAGGCCATGCAGCATGCTGCATAACAGATTCAGCTTTTACTTAGATATAAAGGGTTTATGTGCTGCATGGTGCCTCCCAGAGTTGAGGTGGTAAGCATGGCTCCCACCCAGCAGTCCCAGAACTGGCAGTAAATGTACTTCCGCCATATTCAAAGGCCAAGAAAAGTGGAGCCAGCATCCAGGGCTGCTGCAACCACACTGCTTACTATTTTAAAATGCTCCTTGTCAGAAAAGGATTTCAGATACACAAAAGGACAGATTGAGACCTAAAAGACTTCTAAACAAGACACAGTGTGTTTCAAAATGTACATAGAAACTGATGAACTTTGCCAGTACAAGGCAAAACAGGTCTTCAAATTTCCTGCTTCACTGAAAAGTCTGCCAGATAGTATGGGCTTGTAGGTTGAAGATGGATGCTCCAATGTTACAGAATAATTTTGGGTGACTGTACAGGCAGCAAGATGTCTCCATCAATTGTAGAACTTTGGAAGTTGTTTACAATGCACTTCCTGTTTACTTAGATAATATTATATCCTTCTAGGGTCTTTGGTGGAGTTAAAGGATAGTTATAGTTAGTGTTCCTTAGTTATGATGAAAGATAAATTAAACAGAGCTTTAGACTCACAAAGATAGAATAAGATAGGATAAATAGCAGAGTATTTTCCTTAGCTTACCAAATATAAATGGACTAAATATTGTAACTATAATTCTTGCTTAATAACTGTTTTGTTATATGCAATTTTGCTATGTTAAAGTTAAAATCTTTCTTTTTATTTAGACAGAAAAGGGGAGATTAATAGAAATAGGTTAAATTAAGATGTAAAAACTAGATAGAAATATGTACAAACCATTGGCCAAACATGTTGTAACTAGTATAGTTTCTGTGTGATTATTTGGGTCTGGGCAGCTGGGAAACGAAGGCGCAGTCTCTGCCTACACATAGGAAACAAGTCCGTAAGCTTGATCTGCTGTTCCTGCCACCAGGTTCTTGCCTTGAGTTCCTGCCCTGACTTCCCTTCATAATGCACCATAATCTGTAAACTGAAATAAACCCTTTTCTCCCCAAGTTGCATTTTGTCTTGGTATTTGACCACAGAAATGGAAGCCAAAGTAAGTTCTCAAGTCCAGACGTAGGTCTCCCCTCCATGGCTCCAGTGCATCTTCATCTACATTCCCACTCATGTCCTTCCTGACCCAAATCAGCTTTGGTATCCTTTTTGTATTTAGTAGTACACATTCTCTCTGCCTGCATCGTGAGTGGAAGCAGTGGAAAGTGTAGTTCCTCAGATGTCCCTCAGATGTCCCTAGGAGTGACTTTTCCCAAATAGAACTCAATGCTAATCATCTTGCCCTTCCTTTCCTTCCCTGGGTACCTAAAACACTTGGGGTCTCTGTCCCATTCCTAGAATTTCCTTGCCTCTCCTATTTGACTCTGGTCTTGAATCATCAGTCCCTCCAAGTAATCATTTCTGACTTAGCTCCACAACCGAGCAGGCGGCTCCAGCACTGGTAGTAGTACTTCAGTGGGCTCCACTCTGGCTGGAGAAGTCCTTCGGGAACCCGGGGACGTCCTGGAGATTCCTGGAGATGAGCCTGGTCAGAAGTCGTGTGTAGTGTATCTCAGATGTGACAGGGAATGGGCCACTGGGATCCATATAGGTCCAACAAGCCGCCAGTGGCCCTCGTAGGACCAACAACATTATCTAATGTTCGGGTTGACTGCGGACGCAGACATTTGAGCTGCACAACACAATCCCCACTAATCGGAGGCCTCTCCCCACTTTCACCCTACGAATCCACCTTCAGACTCACCTTTGCCAATTAGCCACTTCCCCAAAGAGCCGCCTTCCTCTCTGGGTCCCGCCTCCTCCCCGACCCCACTCCGGCACTCCTCCTTGCCTCCCTTTGGGACCCACTGATCCGCGCGTCACCATTTAGGCCACACCCAGGCTTGGACTGAGACTTTGCCTTATGGAATAATGTACACAGTTGGTGGCGAGCAACGACCACCGCTGCGGATGCCGGCCACCGGTTCAAATTGAGGCTGCCTCAGGAAGGCTTGCGGTAACCAAAGACCAGAAGCTGAGACTGCGCGAACGGAGAGGGGAGGCACCAGCGTGCAAAGGTGCCCTGGCACCAGGTCCCTGCCACCGAGTGAGCACTGGGAGGAGCCAGAGTATTTGAATGGCGGCTTGAGGTCAGTCACAGCCCCCGACCTGAGTGGTACCTGTCGCCCGCAGCATCTCGGGTGCCTGGGGATCTCGACGGGAACCAGTACCGGGTACCAGAATAACCTGGACTCTACAGGTGGCGAGGGAAACCCGGGGTGCCATTTACTGACTGACCATGACTGAAGCTGTGAAAAAGCCTGCTCCTCAATCCAGATAAGCCTGGATTCCAGCAGTGGGAGGAGCATTTGGAGATCCCAGGGTCCTGGTCCGGTTCCTGGTGCCCAGCTGAAATGTAGTTCCAGGATTGTGACAAGTGACTACATGTGGACCTGTGTGAGTCGACCTGTGTGTGCCACAATTTCCGACATTGTGTAGTTCTGTGTGTGACCTTAGTGACGATATAGGGATAGTCTGAGCCTGACTTGACCTGTCCTTTAACCTGGTCCGTGTGATGACTCAGCATTGTTTTGGTCATAGTGCATAAGGCTTGTGGAATGACAGCACATGTGAGATGTGAGATGCTCATGTGACCATATGGAAATTCTCACATACCTGACCCTCCCAGTGACATGAGTGTGACTCCACATGTGTACATCACTATGTATGACAGGATGCAATGTCACTAGCCCATGGGACCTGTCACAGATGGTCTGTGGCTTTCTGACATCTTCAGTAAGTTCTCAGTTCTGTATCTATTGGCATTAGCGCCGGGGGTGTGTTAAGATTCCCCTGTTCCCCGCAGCTGGATCCAGATTCTCTAGGACCTAAATCTCCTCTCTGCCCTAACCAAAAGCACAGCTGGTTAGACGAGGAAGTACCTGGACCTTGGTGTTAGAGGCGAGGAGGCTGAGACCTGCCCAAGCTGGAACTGGCCTGGGCTCTCCTGGTCATACTCAACCTTGGAGTACAGGATTTCTAGGGCTAATGGCTGTGACCCTCATGACATTAAACTTTGCTATTTCGGTATCCAGGCTTGCCCAAAGAAGGCCGGGGTCTGCTGGAAGGGTCCTATGGTCTATAGGTTTTCAGATCACTACAGGTTCTCAGCTTCACAGTGTTGGGTAGCAGCCAAGTCAAGAGTTGTCTTTGCCCTTCTGAAGCCAGTAAGGATGAATGCTGGCTCCTGCCCCCTCCCCAACTTTGGTCCTACTGTGATCCAGTCAGGTCACCTGGGTGGAGGTTGGATTGTGGGAATATGGAGTGGGAGACTAACAGGACAAGCCTGAATGGTGGGGGATGAAGAAGGGGTACACAGAGAAACAATATTTATACAAAATAATTTATTTTGAAATGTACCGTTCATAATGGCCAGAGACAGATGACAAGTCCCTGCTGTGAAATGGGCAGAGATGCCCTACCTTTCCAACGTCACTCTTATTAAGAGAACTAGTTGCTCAGCGTCCCCACTGAGTGGAAGGGTCCAGCCCTTCCCAAAGAAAGGAACTAGGAAAGACCCTGGTAAAATGTCTTGAGAAAGAAAGGAGTGGGGGAGGAAACATCAGTCAGGGTATAAAATAAATAAATTTAATTTAAAAAAAAAAGAAAGAATGTCAAACTCTTGCCTTTTGGGGACCTTGGTGTGTCCAGGAAGGTCAGGGCCTGACCCGACCATCTGTACGGCAGGGTCAGAGGGCAGTTTCTGGAGCCCTTAGATGCCTGTATTTCTTAGAGGCTTTGAAGACCCTTTTCTTCCTATTGGCACCTAGCCCTAGAGAGTGAGGGACACATACGTGTCTTTGGTTCTGGGAAACCAACTTCCAAAGCTGCTGTGTTCTTGACCTTGTTAGGTCGGGATCCATCCATGGAGCAAGCGGGACGGTTGGCCTGGCCAAAGTGTTGACCCTATTTGTTGGCTAGGAGCCCAAGAAAGAGCGTATCAGTAGTCGAAGTGACAGTGGCAGTGGCTAGAGACGGCCGGTTAATGCAGCGCAGATTTCCAGTTTTGAATGCACAGTGCACAGGCCAGAGTACCACACAAAATAGCAACAGCAACAGCACAGAAATCAGTACTACCTGACGCCAGTCTCCAAATCGTGTCCAGCAGCGGGCCAGCCAGCCTCGTCTGGGTTCGGGAGGGTCCTGGACAGGTACAGGTAGTGTGGGTTCAGCTGGTTTGCTCAGGCCTACATCCACACACACAAAGTCACTGGCCTCTTGGCCAGAAGTGGTGGACAAGGGGCGGCAACACAGTTTGGTGCCCTCAAGCCACACAGGCTCCTCTCTCTGCAAGTGCACTGGCATCTTGGCCTGCAGCTCACGGCTGGTGCGCAGTGCAGGAGCCCCAGCAGCAGGCACAGTGGTGAGCTGCCGGCAGAATGGGCAGGGTACAGCTTCTCTGCCAGGACGGCCTGCAGGCTGGGCAGCAGCCAGCCTAGCCAAACACTCAAGGCAGAAGACATGAGTACAGGAGAGCTCCTTGGGTGTCTTGAAGATGTTGTCATAGCCTGAGAAGCAGATGGAACACTCCAGTGGGGAGGCTACCTTCTCTGAGCCAGGAGTACTGGGCGATCTGGGGCTTCCAGCTGGGCCAGGGGATCTGGGGCTTCCAGCCGGGCCAGGGGATCTGGGGCTTCCAGC